AGAAAGTCACAAAGATGACATCAGACTCTTAGAATTACTTTCTGTTGTCATGTTTCAGCTTGATTGTCTGAGGCCCTGGTTGTTTATCTTTTTAGCCACCTACTGGGTCACATACATGCTGAATCCCCATGTTAAGACTTTAACATCCATTTTACTTGTGTTGCATGTTGCCTACCTGGTTAAATAACTCTGCTCAGCTGATATGTTGTGGCTGATTTAACATCTGGCCGTAGCACAACAGTTTAAAATGAACCTTTTAGCTAACAGTGGCCACCATGTTGATGAATGAAACGATGGAGCAGTGGTCAGCACGGTGACATCAAAGCAAAATGCTTGTAGGTTTAAACCTGCTGGCTTTTCTGGAGGTTCTGGCTTCATCCCACAGTCCATGGAAGGTTAACAAAGGTGTGAGTGTAGCTGTACATCATTGTCTGTCACTCTTTGTTATCCCTGTGATTAGTTTTACCCCCAAAAAAGAAAAGTCTGAGGTTCTCCTAATTATATTTATCGAGAAAAAAAAAGAAAAAGGTTCCATGAACTTCACTTTCTCCTGAGCTAATGTCCAGGAATGTTCCCAGGAGTAAACAATCTGTGCGTTGTTATTTACATTTCAACGGCAGGGCCAATGTTCCAGGAGATTAAACAAACTCGTGCACCGATGTTTCAAACATGAACTCATTCTGGATGTCGTTCGCAGCAAAAGCCGACAGCAAACTGGACTTCGATGTTTCGTTGCTTGTATAAAAGCAGAACAGTCATGCTGATTATTTTTTTACTTTTTACTTTTTCTGTTTGATTGCACAACACATTGAACCACCTGGAATTGGAGCTGGTTGGTACAACACATCTGATAACTGGTAGGCTTATTGTAAGTAGTGTAAACACTGGTCAAAGTGCAGGACCAAGTGATCGGTAATCCCAGATTTATTCACAAGACGTGTTTGCCTTTCCCTTAAAACCTTGAGCCATTCTGTAACAACCTTTCCCAACACTTTGAGTAGAAAGTTTGTGATTACGAAGTTATCCATCCGTCTAATTTCTTCCACATATCCAGGGATGGGTCACAGTGGCAGCAATTTGAGCAAGGTAGTCCAGATGTCCCTTTTCCTAGCAACATTTTTCAGTTCCTTCTGGGGGATCCTGAGGCGATCCCAGGCCAGCTGTGATATGCAATCTCTCCAGAGTGCATATCCTGGGTCTCCCTCGCCGTCTCCCACCAGAACGCCTGGAGGGCAACCAGGATGCATCCTGATCAGATGCCCAAACTATCTCACTTGCTTTCTCCTTTAACCATGAAGAAGCAGCGGCTCGACTCCTAAGTTCCCTCCAGATGTCTGAGCTCCTTCCCTTGTCCCTGCCCAAACAGAGGATTAGTACAATAAGTGGTTGCAACAGGATTCTAAGACAGTGAAATATGAATGTTAGAGACATTTTTGTTGAAACATCTGGTTTGATGTATTGTTTTAATACAGATATCATACAGTTGGTGTACTTCCAGAACGTATTATCTGCAAGAAGCTCAAATGACACTTGCTGATTATCTTTAAGTACATCTTACTTGTATGATCTCACTTTTCTTCCAGCTCCAGCTGTTTTGGAGAAATGGGGATTGTGGAACCGGTCACTTGTCTCAAGACTTCAGTTTCACTATGAATGCAGAGAACTAACATCAACCTCACATCATAGATTATTGGTTAAATGCAGGAAAATTATTGGGCGGAATTCAAAAACTGGCCCCAAACAAGACTCCAAAACAAACGTTGAGCCCCCCGCCGAGCGTCACCTCCGTAAACCAAACAGGAGCCGCACCAGTGAGCCAAATGCTCCCGGATGACCCCACACATGAAGCCCGGCTCCCTGAGGCCTCCCGCGGCGATTTCAAAGGCTCGCCCGCGTCTGAAGGATTTCTCCGGAGATCACACTGAGATTCCACAAATCTCACCAACGCGAGTCCCAGTTAGTGTTTTATGGCAAGGACTGAGCCCGAACTCGTTATGCGAAACCCAAGGTTGTTCACGACACCGTGGCAGCTCCTTCTGTCTGATCTTGTTATCCTACGCCGCGTCTGCTGTGTGACTTTAAACAAAACTGCAGTTAACTCCAGGGAACTGTGCTGCCAACAGATCTATTTTTATATGTTAAAAACGAGGCAGCTGGCCCACACTACAGTAGATTCAATAAAAAAAAAGAATGTGAGCCTGCTAGCAAGTGGTGACATGTCCTTCCACTGACCCACTCCTGAACAGTCTGAATCTATTCTTTTACCTCATCTCTCATCTCCAGTTGAAAGCAGCCAGAGTCCCCCAGCGGTAGTCTTATCTGCGATCGGATCCAATCTGTTTGTTACGGCGCCGATCACCGCTTCACCTCAGGCCTTGACAGTTCCTCATTAGGACCTTTATACGAGCTGCTGGGACGGGTCCGCGCTGGCGACTCCTACGTGATGAGTTGAGTCCATTCACACCTCCGGCGTGCCACATTTTACTCCACATGATGCTCGCACTCCCCGCGCTCTTTGAACCTCGACGTCCTCTGGAGGTGCCAAATTTATGACGCCCCTCCGAAGAGAGCGCTTCAAATAGAGCAAGGCGTGCCGTGAAAGTGAGATACAAGACGGGCCTCAAGTCGTAAAGTTGCCTCGTCTTCTGCCATTTGCCGCTCTCAGGGTCACGCTCCCTCCAAAAGGCAAGAATATATTAAAAAAACGTCGGAGGATAAATCAGTTTCTTTGCCACATGTGAACGCGGAGTTATGCTCAATTGACTGACATGCATCTTTATCCCTCCAGGGAGTGCAGGGCTCAGTGAGGGATTAGACAGGTAATTAAAAACAGGCCTGTGTTTGATGAGATTTGGTGTTTTGTGTGCGGTTGAGATAGCCTATGGCCTTGTGTCATGCATGGGCTGCAACTGGCAGGAGACAGACAGCAGCATGAGTAACGATGTGAGCGCAAGGCTCTTGTTTAGCCAAGGTTACGGCCGTCCATTTAGGAGCCACATGCAAGATCCTTAAAAACACAGCAGCGGACGGCGGCTGAAGTTTACTCAGGGGGCCAACAACATGGCTGGAAAGGAAATTTAGGAGAGTCGGCCACACAGTAACTCCACTTATAAGACTTTATACCGCAGTAAGCAAAATACGAGAGCAGAAATATAGTGGAATAATAAGCTCAGTTCCGCCTGTCTTCCTTCCTGGGTTGATATAAACCTTGTGTGAGTTCAAGTTGATCACAGTTGCGTAAGTAGAATTTCAGGAAGGAAAAACGTTGATTTTGTGCATTTTTCTTGAGGTGCCACACAAACGTTGTGCTTTGCATTTTTTTTATTATTATTATTTTTTGCATTCTACACCTATTTCTTGGCAAATAGTAAATAACATATATTTAGAGCTGTATAGTGCTTGTAGTCCATTTTCATTACTGATCTTTAAAGAACAATAAAAATCATTTGTTGGTGTTTGGAAATACAAAGAAATACCTCTGAGGTAATGTTGGTGTAATATTTTGACAGTACAAAGTAAGGCTCTGTGTATTTTTATTAGAAAATACATAAAGAAAAACTTTACTGTTTGCATAAAAGTAACTTTGAGGATTATCTATTAATTTTAACAATCTATCAATTTTCTGAAATATGTGAAAATGTCAGTGGCTCCCCAAAGACATCAATGATTATTAATGCACTAGTCGTGCTAATGGCATTTTTAAAAAAAACTAAAAAAACCTACTTATTTTCCTATATAGTAACAAAAATAGTTAACAGTAAATAGTTAACCAGCAGTAAAAAAAAAAAAAAAAGAAGAAGTCATTATCTGTCTGAAAGTCTAACCAGCTGACTTTATCTTAAGCTAGTAATGTTTGGCTATATTAGCTTGCTATAGCACTAGCTAGCTAGCTTGAATTCTTCGGAAGCTAAACGTCCCTGTTTATATGACATCATGTTTTGCATCAGGAATTTAAATATCATTGATGAATGATCAATTAAGTATAGTAAAGTGAAGTTAACTTTTGTCGTATGTGCATTTATTCTTCTTAAGGTAACATATTCTATATAATACAGACACCAGCGGCAGGAATTTAGGAAACAAAAAGCAAACTTTAATCAAAAAGCTGACACAAAAACAAACCGCCAGATAAATCAAAAGCACGGGGAGCTGGCAAAAATTAACAAAAAAAATCCAGAAAGGTAATAACAGCCTGGAATAAACAAAAGAAGGAAATAAAGAAACACTAAAAGGCTAAAAAACAAACAAACTCCAACGACAAGCCGGTAATCAGAAGTGTTGGAAAACAGGACAAAGAACAGAAATAAAACACACAAGGAAGGTAATTCTAAAATATGACAGAAAGCATCTGAAAAGGGCCACAGACACAAACACAGAGACACAGGAAAGAATCACAAAAACAAAACTAGCAGCCAAAACCCCCCCAAACAATTACAACTGTTGTCTTTAATAAAAAAAAATAAAAAGTTTTCTGTTGGTGTTTCCTGATGTTGCAGCTGAAATTATAGTTAATATTATGTTTACGTTGGAATTAAATGACTGGTGAAGGAAAAAGCTTCTTCTCCTGGCATAGGGATCTTGGTAGGATTGTACAGTTAGTTTATTAACAACAAAAGTCCGTTATGTTTTAATGACTAGAGAACTTTGGGTTGTTCAGGTAACACAGCGGATTGTCTTCCAGCTGCAAGGTCGCCGGTTCGATCCCCGACTTCCCCACAAAACCCCACAAACTATTTACATTGTTTATTCTGTGTTTACGCTTCAGACTAGTTGTTCAGCTTCTGCTCATAAAGCTGACCCGGTCCGGTCCGGTCCACCTCTCCGTGCTGCGCGGGCCGGTCCCTGCCAGCAGAGCCTGCTCTTCATTCCGGATCAGGATGAGGATCTCCTCCGGACTCTCCAGCAGGGGAAACTTTTCGTACCTCCCCCTCCGATCGCCCGCCTGCTTCCAGCTTCCAGCTTCCAGCAGCTCGTCGCTGGTCTAAAGGTTCACACTTGCGGCGCGCAGAGGACCAGCAGCCGGCGTCTCTCCTCAACCACCGACAAGGTAACGCACAAAGCGCACCGTGGAGCTGCTCCACGGCTTTTCTTTTAACCAATAACCTGTGCGCCTCAGGTTCCTCCATGTGCATGTGGAGCTGCTCAGGACTTTCTCCAAACTTTTCTGTGTGTTCACATCTGCTTCTGGCTGCAACCTTACAGTCATCGGTGAAGTTTGTTTTCTCCATTTACCAGGTGACAGGTTGCAGAAGTGCACCACATAAAAAGTTTAATTTCTTTTTTATATATATAATCAGTTGTTGGTGTTGCAGTCAGATATTTTTTTTAAAAAGTTTTCATGCTGCTGTTTAAGTGCAGGTTTATTAAGAATGATTACAGTTTTGTTTGGTTGGTTTGCAACACACAATAACTTTAACATCTGCATGTGGACTCAGTTTCTGTTCTTTCTGCAGTGGTGCATTTTCTTTCTGAAAAAGTTTAGTCTCTCAAGAATCCTCTTCTTTTCATCCATGTTGGCATAGCTGCATGACATCAGGGACTGTTTAGAGATCAGCTGTGTGTGTGTGTGTGTGTGTGTGTGTGTGTGTGTGTTCAGACTGGAAGAAAAAGCAGGAATCCCCCTTTTTCTTCACTGCTCTGGGAAACACCAGGCTGCTGCTGCTGCTGCTGCTGCTGCTGCTGCTGCGTTCACTGCCCTTTTTGCATTCTTCTGCATCCCACTTGTTGCCAGCTTTTATGATGCCTGCTCCGGTGACGGTGGGTGTCACTTCTGTTGACGGAGCGGCGGTGAGCCTCTCACTTGTCGGGTTAGCTCGGGTTAGTGGCAGAAGGCCTCCGGGGCAGCATGGGAGCTCATCCTACCCCCTCAGGGAGGCTCCAGCAGGAGCTCAAGCTCTAAAAGTTAAGGCTTAGGGGGGAAAGAAAACGCCAATTACCCAGCTCCTCTTCCTCTTCTCTGCTACAGACTATAGATTTTGGCTCGGAGGCCTTGGCTTTAACACTGTAAAATATTAAAACCAGACTTTATATTAGAATGGTCTGTGAAGGAAAAAAACCTTACTGTATATATTAGAGTTTATGAAGGCAGCAATAGTTTGATTCTGTGATTTATACAAGACAAGGAGCTTTAGACATCCTGTATGTTGTCTACGTTATTATCATTGAGTTATGGAGGGTGAATGTCTGGACATAGAATAATTTGGAGCAGCTGAAACATTTAGTCATGAATTAGCTGAGATAATCAGTAAGTATTTTGGGAATTGATTCACGTTTGTAGATTTCTGCATCTGAACAGAGTGCTGGTTTTAATTGTCATATATAATAATAATAAATGATTCATTTTATTTGTATAGCGCTTTTCAAGAACTCAAAGACACTTCACAGGATAAAAGCAAAGCAATAAAAGCATTAAACAACAAGCAACAAATACAAAGGTAAACAATATAGAAATACAGCAAGCAGGGAAAAAATAAAAAATAAAAATCACATTTTAAGTTCCAAAATTGCAAAGTTACAAAATAAGACATGTGAAAATGTCACTTTTAGCAACAAACATTTTTATTTTTTTGGCCTTTTCCCCTGTTTCTAGACCAGCATTTTTATTTATTTATTTTTTTCAATTAAGTAAAAATGAATAAACAAACAAACAAATAAATAAATACCAAAATAATTTGAGAAATTTTTCAAAAAAAGTTGAAAAATGTGGATCAGATTTTCCTCAAATGTTTTGTTTTGTCCAAAGATCTTCAGTTTACTGTCACAGAGGAAAGAAACCAGAAAATATTCCCACTGAAGAAGCTGAAATCACAGAGTTTAGACTGATTGTCATAGAAATGATTCAAACTGATTAATCGATTGTTGCAATATTTGACAGTTGATTAATTAGTTGACAACTAATCGATTAGTTGATTCATCGTTGTCCCTCTGAGCGGCTGACTGGTTAAACTCACTAGAACTGGATTTTGCTCCAGTAGCTGTTGGTTATTAGATAATGAAAACATTTGTTGCAGTCCTTGTTTAATTAATTGGCAATGAGAAGCTAAAACACAACATGAAAGACAAATGCACATACCAAATACTACTGTAGAACAGTAGCCATCCACAATTAGAACTTTCCCCCCCTTGTAACATATCGCTCTTTTATTTTACTTTGACAATCCCATCTGATTTAAAGGCTGACCTTCTGACCTGTCTGGGTTTCCTTGTCCAGCCTCCAGCTGCCGTTGCAGAGTACATTAGAATGCATTTATGTTACCAAACAGTCAAATATTTGCGTAGTCCTAAAACCTCCGAGGACAAAAGGGGTGGAGGATAAAACAGGGTGGAGGAGGTCTTAAAGGTGAGTAACAGGACTCCACTGTCTACATAAAGGATTCTGGTCCACCAACAAAGGCTTTTGGAGTTTTGCCGTCCTCCTCATAATTTCTTAGCTTTCAACAAAGTTATTCTAATGCATCTTGATGTTTTGCTCTATAAAATCGTGATAAAGGGGTCACACAGGCGGTTTTTAATATAATACAGTCAATGTGTGAACAATTTCCACTCTGTTCAGATCATTCCCTGGTTCCCTCTTCAAACGTGCGGCTCATGACTCAGATGGGAGTGCGGTGTGATTAACAGAGGCTAACAGAGCTAGTTTAGAGCAGATTTACTGACTTCTGACAGCAGCGTTTGTTGCAAACTGATGTCAAATTCAGTTCACCGATGTCGCTCCAAGAACAGAGCAGCTTGATGTGGGGGTGTGTGTTTACTTGCAGAGATGACCTGAAGGTGAAAGAAAATATGCCTAGCATCACTGATGATGAATTAGCTCTGTCCTAAAGCAGTTCTGCAAAGAGAATAATGTGTAGTTTTTGGAATTTTCTCAAATTCAGAGCAGCGCGGTGTGAAGCAGAAGGGGTTTGTGGCACATTCTTGGCTTCTGTTCTTTCATTGGTTCTATTTTACAAACTTACCAAAGGTTTTTCAATCTTAATTTACACAACATCTGAGTTCTGCTTTCTGATGAAATGAGCTAATGAAGTGACCACAGTCACTTTGCGTCTCAAACTGCAGCCTTTATTAAACGCATCATGTTGAACAGGAGTCATTAGTCAAAGGAGGCCCTGCACTTTGCTCTCTGCCCTGCTAATTACTTCACAGAATGTTCTTTCTATAATGTGTAATCAATTTCCAACAAACCCAACTGCCAAAGCATTATGAAGCGTCCGTGTTCGGCAGATAGACTTCAAGGCTGATTGCAACACGAAATTATTGGAGCATTTTTTGATGGAGATAATCACAGATGTGGTAGAAATTTAGAAGTTGGGCAGATTCCAAGTTTCATCATGACAGCCTGCATAATGATTCAAAACACACGACTCCAGCTGATGGTAATAAGGAACACGTAGTCTTAATGTTGGGAAGACTGGGAGCTTGTAAAAATTGGACTCTTGTGAGCTCAACTACAAAGCCAGATGTTTGTCTGCTTTCATTTTGAAACATGAGTCTCTGTGTGTCTGTCTGTCTTTTCCATTTTTCACAGGACCAGAGGTGACTTACATGTGCAGAATGAACACCTGCCAGACGATAAACTAAAGGCCTTGGATGATACCTGATCTCCTTTGATTGTCGTACTAACACCAGGTGCTATGGATCGAGTGGGAAAAGCCCTGCTGAGGTGCACGTTGCTTGTTCTCTACCTGGGCGTCTGCTTGTGTCAGCGTGACTGTACCGGCGTGGAATGTCCCGTCCTGGACAACTGTATTGAAGAAGTGCTGGAGGGGGGCGCTTGCTGCGCTTCATGCTTACAAAAAGGATGTGCATGCGAGGGCTACCAGTACTATGACTGCATCAATGCTGGATTTAAGAACGGCAAGGTGCCTGAAGGAGAGTCTTACTTTGTTGACTACGGCAGCACGGAGTGCTCCTGTCCTGCAGGAGGGGGGCGGATCAGCTGCCACTTCATCAGCTGTCCTGATTTGCCACCAAACTGCATCGAGGTTTTGGAGCCTGCAGACGGCTGCATGCAGTGTGAACGCATTGGATGTGCTCATGGCGGGCAAAAGTATGAGGCCGGACACTCCTTCCATATTGACCCTTGCAGGGTCTGCCACTGCCCTAATGAGGGAGGGAACCTAATGTGCTACCCTGTACCTGACTGTGATCCCCAGAAAGTCCATAAACCCATGTTAGCTGCACCAACGGGAGAAAACACAGCCATCGGGCCTGATAGTTACCCCTACAGGTTTGACCAACAAGGCCACATGGATCAGTTCTCAACACCTTATCACCCTCCTCCTAATGGGAATCTTCCTCTCTTCAAATTGTCCCCACTTGATAAGGAGGAGCCGGAAGACTATGATTACGGTCCGACAGACTTTCCAGAGACCTACCCACAATCTTTGATCTTCCCCACCCAGTCCTCCTCCTCTTCCTCCTCCTCGAAGGTTGCATTTGGGTCCCGAGGCGCTGCCAGACCTGACAGAACCTCTTCCCTTAAGAGCTTTGACAGACGAGGCAAGCTGGAGCTGAGAGAGCAATATGGAGTTCATGACCATCCTGCAGACAAAGAGGAAGTGACAGAGAGTCCCCTGAGAGTGAAGCAGGGTACTGTCAGGCCACATATGTATGCCACTACTTCCTGGCAGCCCTCACAGGGTTTAACAAGTGCTCAGAGTGTCTCGTTCGGTGATTTGAGTCCACAGACTGATCTAGAGAACCCATTGCACGCACACAGGAGTTTGGATAGTGTCATATTTCCGTTAAACCAAGGAATAGCAAGTGAGAAACACCCAGAGTACCCACATGTGAGTTCAGAAAGTGCTATTTATCATCAGAGAGGTGCTGAGACTAAAGCACATCACCAAAATGCATCAGATAGTGTCACACCAAGAGGTTCAAACCAGGAGATCAAAGTTAGTCATCCGGTGAGAGGTACAGAGACGCAAACCAATCAGGAAAGAGGACCAGATAGAGTAACTTTTCCCCTCTACATGCTGAGAAGCACAGAGAGTCCAATCCACCCCGAGGCAAGTACAAACGGTCAAGAGGAATTACAGGGGGCAGTCACGCCGGATGATGAGGAAAGGTTGAATGAAGATGAAACAGACGAGGAGATGGAGGAAGAAATAGCAACTTTTCAAAGTGTCACTGGGCCTGAAGGAGAGGATGTGCCTTACAAGATCAAGTCAGCACAACAAGAGAGGAGCCACGAGGACTCGGAGAGCAAAGATTCGACCAACAGCTACGATAAAAAGACGTCTGGGCCCAGCACTGATTTCCCACGGAGGCCTGAGCACCACACAACCCCAATGGTGCAGGTTACCACCACCACCACTACCACCACTACCACCACCACGCAGCCACCACTGAGGGTCAACCTGGATGAGAGTCATCGAGGGGCAAATCCAGGCCAGAGGCTGTTAAACCTTCACGGTGACGGAGGAGGGGAGGTGCAGGAAGAGGTGACGACAACAGAGGAGGAAAGGGGTCCGGTTTTATTCGTCAAACCTGAGACAGGTAAGTCCAAAAGCCTTAATACACAGTAGGGAATTTGTGTCATGTCTTTTTTTTTGCATGACAATTGATTTTTATTTCAGAACACAGACACCAGCATGAACGAGCAATAGATTTGTTAGTGCATCGGAAATTTGCCTGTAAATCTCGAAAATCATCCATCTTCCATCCATAACGTAACCAACAAAGCCTCAAGCAGTGGAAAGACGATATAGAAAACATCTATCCTGTATCACTGTGGAAGGTTATTGTAGATCCTCATGGTTCCACATACATCTGATGTCCTCCAACATTTTCCTCTTTCCAGTGAAAACTTACAGCAAGTGGACAAAGGTTGTTTGTGCTCACATGGTTAAAGTTTATGTACGTCTCAATTTATTTGTTAAGTTTGTTTCTGCTGCACTTGCCAATATATCAGCTTTTCTTCCTGAACCAAGTGTGACTACCTTTATGTGTGTTTCTTTGCAAACTTTTGGGAATTTTTTAAATGTTCCTACACAGGAACCCATACAAATATGCACCATCTTAAGTCCTGGATTGGGGTCATCTTTTTAAATACTCAAAGCTGATTGGTTAAACTCTGAGAGGACAACAAGCGCTGTTTTTCCGCCTCCTGAGGTCCTTGTCAAGTAACATTTTTCTTTTCTCAAACACCAACAATGAAAATTTGACCATATAGGCAAACATAATAAACCTCCTGTTGTATTTCCTCCGTGCTCACAGAACCAGAGATATGTCAATTTATTACAGTTTGTCCTCGTTTTGAAGGACCTGGATTTAACGGTCAAATGATCTTCCTCCGCAAAGACTAAAAAGGCTGAATGTGAGGCAGTTCCTGTAAAAGTTGTAGTTGAAAGCCTCTAGAGTGGGGTTTTTGACCATTTCTTTGTTATAAAACTGTTGACAGCTTTAATGCTGAGATTGGAAATAATGCCTCTTGTTGACCATTTCCAGAGTTTACGTATTTAAATCCAAACGGCACAAACTTGTGTGTCATAAACCGCAATAACACCTTTAGCTCTGAGAATTATTTCAGTAATTCAGTGCAACATTTAGCACCCCATTGCAATCCTACATAAACCATTTAATTCGGTCTTCTGTTTAGCTGTGCAGAATTGTCCTCAGAGAACAATGCTCCCTTTCTCTATCCCGCTCTGAATACCAAACCAGGCTGTATGTCATGTGCGTATGGAAGGAGTGGAGACACCCGCTGGTCCCCAGGTATCAAAACAGGAACATAAATATTGAGTTCGGGGTCTGCCTGGACTAGGAGTCAAATGCTCCTCCCACGGCGAACATCCTCTCACAGCAGTCTCAAACCAATCGCCGCCATCCCTCACCCAGCGTACAAGGCCTCAGCTCCCCCTCAGGAGACAGACAGGCAGGCTTGAGTGGCTGGATTTGGTCATAAATCCTCTCTGGCCTCCAGGATTCAGATGCTTTTATTTGAGAGGTGTTTCTTGGATGTATTTTTTTTTTAAACCATCGCAATGTTTGTGGACTGCATTGTGACGAATGCCTCTTTATAGTCAAACAGGGAGAGATCACTGAAAAGTAAAAAAACATGTTCCTGTGTGTTTCCCCCATCAAAGACATGTCAGAAACAGAATTTAAGAGCAGAACATGTGGCTTGACATAGAATCACTGGTTCTGCTGATGGTTGAGTAAAGCATCATTTATTTAGCAGAAGAAATCACAGACTACAGTCTCAGTATTTGGCCTCAATAGTTCGACTGGTCGATGCGTTTCATATGGGATAGACGGAGTTACTTGAGCCCCTGCGGATGCACGTGAAATGAAATGAAAGATGTGTACAGCACGAGGCATCAGATCCAGATGTTGGGGCCCTGAAGGGCGACTCACTGTGCATGATTGTAGACAAACACAGAGCACAATAACAGCAAGATCACATATATATATCTTCAATCTAAAATAAATGCTGCTTTTATTTTTTCATATACATTTCTATATTATTAACTTTACAGCACATATTTCTGACACAAGCTTCCCCCTGTGAGCTGAGAGAGGGTTATACATACCATCATTGTCTGACTAATGAGCGCACCTGAATATAAGCCGCACCCACTAACTTTAAAAAGGAAAAAATAATTGTACATATACAGGCCGCACTTGTCTATAAGCTGCAGGTGTCCACGTTGTAACAGGAAATATTTACATAGAGAGATTTTTTTATACTTTTAATAAAATAAGTACCGGTAACATACACAAATACGTAAATGCTTTTTTCTGAACAGTGCCTGTAACACGACTGGTTAAAAAAATAAAAAATACAGTCGCCTACCATGAAAAGTCATTGATCGCTATCTTCATCTTCCTCCTGCACGAAAAAAACAAAAAACGCCTCCTCCACAGTCACAAACGAAAACACCCACAGAAACACGGCCACAAACACCCCCACACTCTCTCTCGCGGTGGCGCTCAAAATCACACTCACATCGAGGCAAAATCAAAAAAAACAAAAAAATAACCGCAACAATGGTGAAACCCCAAGGGTCAAAACAAGCGAAAAAAAGTAGCGGCGTATAGTCTAGAAATTACGGTAATTATGGGGCGAGAAAGGTTGCTCCACAGCCGTTGGATGCTTGATGGGTGACCAACTAGTCAGTATCAGGATCGAAGACAAAGGAAAGTCGAACGGTGCAGAGGTTTTGGCTGCAGCTCACTCGGTCTTGGCTCGGTTTGATTGGAAAGTCTTATTTGAATTATAAAAATAATTCACCAAAATGTGTTTTTGTAAACATTTGAGGAGAAATAATCCGCTCAACTGCTGACTACGTCTTTATTTTAGATGGACAGAGGAAACATTTTTCCAGCATTTCCAGAGGCATTGAGTGACAATTTGCAACAAGTAGCCGATAGACCTCAACTTTATGCAAATAAGGAGCAGAAAACACGAAGTCCCATCATACGAAATGCATTACTACGCTACCAGAATGCATTGCATGGCTACCCAGGTAGACAAGAATGAGAAGCGTGGAAGGGATGTACATGTAGACAATTAGTCTATCTAGTCCGGATGTAGGTTGTTGATATAAACCAGCCATTGGCCGATAATCTCAGTCAGCATTCTTCCCACTTCCTGCTATCTGCTTGTTACGGTTTTGTTTATTCCGGGAAACGACTACAGCGAGCTCAGGGCTGCAACCTATCGTACTGAAATTGAACAAAGTTTTGCAGAGGATTAGGATCATGCAATCAGGCAGTTTTGCTAGTTTTTTATGTTGGATTATCCATTTTGATCGCAGTGTTTATCGCCCTGCATGCAAATGTTCTGCTACAATTCAAGTCGTCACTATTTTGAGGGAGCTGCATCCTTCGTTTAGCTCCACCCACGATGACTGTTATCAGTTTAACCCTCCTGTTATCTTTGGGGTCAATTTGACTCCATTCAATGTTTAACATCTCTAAATAAGTCATTGGCATATTTGTTTTTTTCAGTTTTATTAAAATGACTATTTACACATAAACTTAATACTGACATTTTCTGGAGGTTTAAATTGCTGAACCCAAGGATAAAAGATGTCAGTAAATTTGAAGGGAATAGGAGGGTTACAGTAACACAAAGAAGCCAGGGCGTTTTTCCCCCATATCGCACAATGATAATGTGCTGCAGCGAGACCATTATGCTCTTAAGAAAGATCCCATTGTCGCTGTGGCATCAGTTTCATATCTGGGTACTTACATAGGAAAGAAGTACATTAAAAAATACAATAAATAAAAAAGCAAAATAACTGTTAAACTGGAAAATGATAATTCAAATGTAAAAGACCGATTAATGTAAAACGCAAAGTGCAGCCATAGATAGAAGAGATAAAGGCTGAGAGGACATTTTGCCCTTTGACCATACCCACTCCATCGATACTACCAATGGAGGCAGTCGGGGTGTTTAGAACCCTTAGTGTCTGATTGCTGCAACATGCTTCAAAAAACTGACTCCTTCTTTTAACTAAGTCACATCTCTTATTGCCATCTGTCACCCAAGTCTGTAAATCTACTCCAAAACTTTGCAGAACCTGCCTGAGAATCATCACGCTTTAAAGTTTCCTTCAGTATAAAAGTAATGTAGTGGTAGTTGTTTGTGCATTCATGGGCGGACATCATACTGTTAATGGTTTTAGCCTACATTCATTGATCAGTGGCAACCTTACGCCTTTGTTAACGGCTCCCAGATTGTAGTGACTGTTTTTTTTTTAAAGTAGGGTGTTATCTGCTAAAGTAGAGGAAGTACACTTTCCCCGGAGTCAGGCAGTTATCTCTGACACTGTTGAAGCAAATTTTTAACATTTGACTCTTTATGAATGAAGGATGTAGTGCATAGAGGACTGTTGATTGCACAAGTGTTACTGTGTGTGTGTGTGTGTGTGTGTGTGTTTCAAGCTCCCCATTAATATACTCTCAACACATGTAATCAAAGTGCTCTTTTAATAGAGCATGTGGGTGATAAAATGATCCAGTTCTTCATCTATTAGGAGGCTGGTCTTAATCAATTCATCCTTTGATGAGATAATGTAATTACATAATCACAGTGGGCCACATTTGATTTATTATCAGGCCATTTGCACAGTAATTCATTGTAATAAGAAGGAGCGCGTGTGCAGTGGGCTGGCTGCTGGATCACCGCACCATCCCTAAAGTTTCTTTCAAAAAAAATGACACATTGCTGCGTCCTCTGGAGCATACGCAGGAGGATAAGCTGAGGAGAAGTTATCTGTTGGGGTGGCGGAGTGCTCTTATTCCAGATAAAGTACTTTCTCCAGATAGAAACGCTCTGGACAGACAGGTGGCTGCTCATAATCTTAAAGTGGGAGATAAAGGGAAGGCCAGGCAGGGCCTCTCTCCATGCTGCTGATAATGAAGTTTTATCAGCACTTGATGGCACGTCGTCCCGGGAGAGCACCAGAAAAGCATGCACGATTTGGCAACTGCTTAACATCTGACAAGAGGTGCTTTTTTTACTTTTTTTTTTTTTTTAAACAAACTGG